ATTATATTAATAATAATATTAAAAATAATTAAAATATATAAATATAAAAAATAGTTAGATAATATATATAATATAAAAAATAATTATATTAGGAGTACAAATAAGTTTCCGCCGTTTTTTGTCAAAAAAAAAAATAATATTTATTGTGAAAGAACGGTAGTTTAAATTTAATCGAAGTATTGTCCATCACTAGCAACTACTTTTTCCCATCTTTCAGGCAGCGTTCGGATTCCATGTCTAAAGAACTCCTTATCTTTTGAGGCTATCCACGAATCAACCCAGTTTTTGATATCTTCATATGATGTGAACCGCTGCTCCGACAGAGCATGTGCCATTGACCAGAACAGATGATAGTCGGACGGAGCAATGTCTGGTGAATACGGCGGGTGGGGTAGTACTTCCCAATCAAATGTTTTTAAATAGTTTTTCACCGGAACCGCTACATGCGGACGAGAATTATCATGTAAAAGAATAATTTTGTCGTGTCTGGAGTAGTATTGAGGGCGTTTTTCCTTCAGAGCTCGGGTCAATCTCATCAATTGTGTTCGGTAGAGAGTTCCAGTGATTGTTTCGCTTGGATTAAGCAACTCGTAATACACCACACCAAATACACAGCATGAGTTTTTTTCCATGAATATTCGGTTTTGCTGTGGATGTTGACACGTGGCCAGGTAGTCACCATGATTTTCTTCTTTTTGGATTATCATAATGGATCCACTTTTCATCACCAGTGACGATTCGATGTAAAAAACCTTGTTTTTTTTTGTACCTAGCTTGCATCATTTCACTCATGCATAATCGGCGTTCAACATCTCTTGGCTTTAATTCATATGGAACCCAATTACCTTGTTTATGAATCATTCCTAACGATTTTAAACGATGTGAGACTGCTTGCTGAGTGAATTCTAAAGTAAGTGCAAATTCCTTTTGTGTTTGAGACGAATCTTCCTCCAATAATTCCTCCAATTCTGCCTCCTCGTAAATTTTTGGTCTTCCACTATGATCTTTGTCTTTTACGTCAAAATAATCGTTTTTAAATTTTTGACATGTTCTCTCATTCAAGGCAGCCTCATTTTATGCTTCTACGAGCAATCGATGCGTCTCAGCTGCAGATTTTTTTAAATTAAAGAAGTAAATTAAAAGTTCCCGATAATGACGTTTATTTGGCTCAAATTTAGACATTTTTGGATAAAAAAAAATATATGATGCTAATACCAAGTTAATAATATGATAGGGTTATGTTGCTCTTGAATAAGCAACCTAATTTACAAGCCGGTTATCATCTGCGAATTCTAACGTAAGCCTCGTGTCATGCCATCTCTCTCAAAACGCCGGAAACTTATTTGTACTCCTAATATATATATACAAATAATATTAATAATAATTAAAAATAATATAATTATTATTAATTTTATTAATAATATTAATAATATATTTGTAATATTATTAATCATATAATTATTGTAATTTTTTTTTCTCTTCAAATACATAATTAAATCACATGTGAAATTGTACGAAATAATTTTTATAAGATAATTTTAAATCATTAAAGGGACAAGATTCACAACTGTTTAAAAAACATTTGAAAAAAAAAATTAAAAGAATAATTTTGTCGATAATTTAGATTATCATTTTTGAAGATATAAAAAAAATGTTTATATCAAGTTTTAAATGATGATCAATAAATATTTCTGTAATTATTTAAATTGATATTTCGCAAAGTAATCTATAAAGTATAAATTTATATTACAATATTAATTAAACATATCATTTATAAATAAAGATAGCTCTCAATTATAATTTTACAATTATATGTATATATAATCATAATAATACGTATGAATATAATACCGATATTCAAATATAATTAAATTATTTAATTAAAATATCTCAAAATATGAAAACTATATAACACAAGAAACTTAAAGTCAATCTTAGTAATTGTCGTTAGAAAAAATTTTTGTAAATGAAAACAAAATTTCATATTTTTATTTTCTTTATCGTTACCACTTCTTTCTATCTCTATTTCTCTTTCTTCTTTTTGCAGTTACAAAATTAATTATTATGTTATATGAAATATAAAAAAAAAAATTCATTTATCTTATCCCTTGAAAGCAGTAAAAAGGGAAAATTAATAAAGAATCGCTAACGAATTTCTCTTGTCGGACGATATTACGAACATTTATTTTTTTCAATTTTTTTTCTTTCCCACTCTTTCTTTCTCTATTTATTTATTTTTTGTTTGTAAATATATATTTAATTAATAATTACACGAATAAGATTATGAAATTATTTATCTTTTCGTAGGAAAATACGAGGTAAACAAATATCTTATATAAACTCGATAATAAGGTAAAATAAATGTGATAGTATTTGTAAAAGAATAAATACAGTATAGAAGAAAGAGAGACAATGAGAGTGAGACAGAGAGAGAGAGAAGAGAGAGAGTAAGAGAAAGTATATGAATAATAAGTTTGTTCATACTACAAGAGAGTGGCGTTATTAAAACTTTCACGACGAGTTTATTTTTCTCTGACATTGTCATGAATATTTATTTTTCTATAACTCGTTTTCACAGAAGAATAGACGATATATGTATATAGTGGAGCGTGTCATTGACACACATTTTCTTTTCAAACTTTGCTTATTTTAATTTATTTCTTTTATTATAATTTGCTCTCATTTAATTCGTTAATCTAACTCGTCTATCGAACTTTCGATACAATTTGTTTTCTTTTTTTTTTTTTTTTTTATATTTTAATTCTTTTACATCTTCTTTACTGTAACGAGTATAAACAATTGAAGAAATAAATAAACATAAATACAAATCATCAAAGAATAAAAGAGAATTTGGGATACGAAATTATTTTATGTAATAGAAGGTACTTTCTTTCTTTTTTTTTTTGAATTGTATTCTCGTAGATACTTTTTACTTTTAAATTCGCGCGTTTCTTATTTTCCGCAAAAGAAGAAGAAGAAGAAAAATGGAAGAAACCCTTTGGCTGCTTTGAAAAAGAAAAAAGACGTAATGTGTTGTTCGTACTTTTCACTTTACATCCAATTCCTTATTCGTTTTTTTTGTTTTCTTCTTCTTCTTCTTCTTCTTCTTCTTCTTCTTTCGGAAAACCGTAAGGTTAGAGATATCGAAAGATATAAAAGAAAAGAAAAAACGAAAATAAGTAAAATATAATCTACAAAAAACGTTACAAACATTCATTTAGCATAATCATTCTATCGTACAAAATATCATGTGTGCAGATCACACGTGTTAAAAGTGAAACCTTCTTAAAACTTTCGCTTCGAGAGAATAATTCGAATGCAGAGTATCAGGAGTAAGATAATTTTAGGGTTTATTTATTATAAAAAAACAGCTTTGCTTGTGAGAAACGTGGATAGTCTAGTGGCCAGTCGAAGAACTAACTTACATTTTTAAATGTGTGGGATTGAGTTAATATGAGTCTACGCTTCGTAGTATGCAATCGTACACAACACACACATATACAACACTTAGTAGCCAGGAGTGGGTACTGCGAAGCACTGCGTAAAGAGGAGACCGAGATAATAAGAAACAAATGCATACTGTCTTCTATTAGAAGAAGTCTCTTATCTTACGCTAAATCCTATAGATGTGCATATGTTTGTCTCGTTTTCTATTTTTACTACCGCAGCCGTTTCATCGTTTCGTTATCGTTACTATGGATTTTCGTTCGCTTTTTTCAAATCACTCCCATTTTAAAGAAGTTTTCACTTCAATAAATCTAAATATAAAAAAAGGGTGGGAGAAAGGTTCGAAGAAAATTAGGAACCCTTATCTCGAATTAATAAACGCATAAAAAAATAATTGTATATTTTCATATAGAATTTTTAGTTCAACTGCACGCTCGTATACTAAAATAAACCCGAATGAGAATTAAATATTAAAAAATAAATTCGTTAATTAATCGAATTGAAAATTTTTTTAATTTGAGAAATTTTTGAATTTTTTCGATTGATTGATTTTTCATTTCCTTGTAATTATCGATATTTGTAAAAAAAAAAAAGAAAGAAAAAAAGAAATTAAAAAAGAAGAAAAACCATAGTAAGGATCTTTTTAATTTTCTAATTTTTTTTTCCAAACTCTCAGATATTAACTCGCAATTTGTCTCATGAGACATTTGGCGAGTTGTTATATGAAAAAAAAAGTTTGAAGAAAAAAATAAGATTCAAATTTCCATTCTATTATCGCGTTAATAGATCGGTCCAGTTAACACACACATATATGTATATATTATACATATTATATACACATATATTTATATATTAGAACTACCGGAAAATTCTGTCTGTTTTTAGAATAAAATTTTCATAATTTAAATGAGCTTTATTGAATAATATAATTACCATAATTATTTTTGACTTCTTGCCAACGTGATGACAATTTTTATATCCCATTTAAAAAATATATCTTATCCCTAAATGCAAAAAATTGAACCAGTGTTTGTTTGAACGGACAAAATTTTCCGGTAGACTTAATATACTATAATACATACCGGAAATCATTTTCACTAGATCTTACAAGTTTATTTGAATTTCAGTACAACGGATGGTTTGTGTATGTTTCTGTGTGTGTATGTGTACCAAGGCAACTTATAAGAGGAGAAGGAAGCAATACGATAGTAGTCGTGGAACTTAAGCAAGACCTCTGGGAATACATGGATTAAGAATTCGGACCCAGCTCGAATTCCTCAAAGGAAAGAGGACCTCCGGTCCTGGAAGGGTCCTGGTAGTGGTGGTGGTGGTGGTGTTAGTAATACTAGTGACATTAGTAGTAGTATTAGTATTAGTAGTAGTATTAGTATTGGAAGGACTACGAGACGAAATAGAAGGAGAACGAAATCAACATCGATAGTAGTAAAAGGAAGAAGGGGAAAAGGAAGGGAAGGGAATTTTCGTCAAAGAGGGAAAAGGATGGTCTAAGGTTGATTCGCTCGAAGGCTGCCAACACTGGTAAGGAACTCTTCCTCGTGAGTGTTCCGTTTCTCTTATTAAGAAATGGCAATGGTAAGGATGAACTTGTAACGGGAAGACACAAGCCAACATACTACACAACCATGACGAAACCCTTTAAGAGAAACGCGTTATTAACGCCCTGGGGTTAAACAACGACCTTAATCGAATTTATCTCTCTCTCTCTCTCTCTCTCTTTCTCTCTTTCTCTCTTACTCTATCACTTGTCTTCTATTCATTCACTTATATGTTGTGTAATATTTGACAATATTAGTGAGACTGGATATTCCATAGCATTCGATTTGATTACTACGTTGATTTGAAATACTCAAATTGAAAGAAAGAGAGAAATAACGATCGATAGTGATAGATAAAGAGAAAGAAAGAAAGGAAGAGAGAAATTAGACGTGTTTCGATTTACAAAGCTGTCGGTGGTAGTAAAAAACTATAAAATGTTACAACAGTAACAGCAACAATACTAACAACAACAACAACAACAACAACAAAACGGTGGCTTCCAAGGAAACGCCTAGTCGTATCGCAAAGTAAAATGTTCTTCCGTTTCCGCGATTGGCTCACTAATAATACTCATGCAACACGGTTTACAGCCTTGTTCTGGAATATTTCCCTTCTTCGACAAACGGCTGGTTGCCTTTTGTGTAGCACCGTGAGAACTACTTTGCCAAGTCGAAACAGAATAGCCTTCGAGCGGGGCGAATTTCGAGTGAACTGTAATATCTATTCTGTTTGAAGTAAGACAGTAAAGAAAAGAGAGAGAGAGAGAGAGTAAGAGTGAGAGAGTGAGTGACACATAACACACACAAATATATATGTGTGTTATATTTACATATAAACGTACGTGTAATCACATACGTTCTTACTTACTTACTTACTTATTTACTTATTTACTTATTTACTTACTTACTCGATCTTACGTATTTACGTGTTATATCAGTGAACACGAGTTACACAGGGTGATAGAGGACAAAAAGGGAAATAAAATTTCTTTTAGAAGCTTCTCTCTTCCTCTCAATATTATAACATAAAACATTATATAAGTGATTAAAACGTGTTTGTGCTTAACCTGACATAAAACAAAAATCCACGTGTATAATATTTCATTGAAGGAATATAATTGTTCTATAATCTAACTATAACTATATCTAACTACTATCTATTATATCTGGGGCTTTCTCGATCATTGGTAGCCAGCCGAATTCTCTAAACTCGGGGATGGAAGTCGGAGTATGTCTCACCTAATTCCATCGTCAAAGTCAACTAGAAACGTTTCGCGTGTTCGGAAGACGACGACTACGACGACAACGACAACGACAACGTTGATAACTCGCGTTCTTGACGTTACAACCGATGACGATAATAATGTAAGATACGAATCGGTATTGACAAGTTTTATTCTATATAACTGAAGGAAAATTCTTTCTCAAGGAAGAAATAAGAGAAGAGAAGAGTAGAGAACGGAAGAAGAAGAAGGGAAGAAGGGCTTTTGGCGAGGAGAAAAATACGAAACGTTGAAGTATATACTGTTAAGGGGCCAGGAAATATATAGTATATATATATATACTATCCAAGTCTGGAAGGTTTTATCGTCGCGTACGTCTTTTCGTGTTCATTCGACGAAGAAGGAAAACTGACCTATTCGCCCAAGAATCCTCATCGAAAGTATTATATCATTGAGAGAAGAAGATAAGATACCGAAAGAAGAGAAGAAAGGAAAGGGAAGAAAAGAAAGGAAGGAAGGGATTATAATTGAAACGAAAAATATAGATCATATTTTGTTCCTTCCATTTTTCTTTTTTTACTTTAACGAACAACGATATCACATACTAGCTTACTATCTGCGAATTGCATTTGGTGCTTGACAAAAAGGGAGATAAAGAAAAAGATTTTAAACAAAAATAAAAAGAAAAAAGAATTACAAACATAAATAGAAAAAAACAGAGAAATAGAAAGAAAGAGAAAGATAGATAGAAAAGGTGACACCCAAGCGTATCATAAACGTTTCGTATTTCAAAAATAATACTTACGTGTACGTAGTAGTAATAGTAGTAGTAGTAATAGTAGCACCTGTTATTGTTGTTGTTGTTGTTGTTGGTTGGTTGGTTGGTTGGTTGGTTGGTTGGTTGTTTGTTACCACGTTCTGAGAACAGAACCTTCGGGATATTAAAGTATATTACGTTTGTGAATGTGCGCAAGTGAGTTGGTGGTGTGGTTGTGGTTGTTATTGTGGTGATAGTGTGAGTGTTGGTAGTGGTGGTGGTGGTGGTGGTTCGTGCAGAAGGAGAAAAAGACGAGCTTGAAAAACATGGTACACGAAGGCACCGGTTTATGGCATGCTGCTGGATTCAATGTGTCGAGGTGGCTGATGGTTATAATACATGGCTATCGGGTTACCAGTCTCATCCTGTCTATCCTACTTAACGTGTTGGTACCTACTGGTGAGTATCATTCACTCGTTAGTACCTTTTCGTTTCATTTGCTTCATCCGTTTTCATTCGTTTACTCCTTCGTTCGTTCATTTTGTTTTTGATTTTATTTTTGTTTTTTTTTGGACTTTTATTCTTTTTATTTCGTTTCGTTTCGTTCAGTTTACGATTAATCACTTTTCCCTTTTTTCCAAGTCTCTTCTCTTTTCATTCAACCGGTGATGATGGTGGTGTTTCACCCTAGTGTAAATCTAAATATATCCCAGTGTGTTTTTTTCAATGTTAACGTTGACATTCATATTTTCTACCTTCTACTTTCTTTTTAAACTTTTCAAAGCCCTTTTATCTGTTTTTTGTTTTTTCATTATTTTGGGAGATTTTCTCTTCAAAAATAAAATGTACCTACCTTTCGTTTTATTTTTTTTCATTCGTTCGTACGTTCGTTCGTTCTCGTTTTTGTTTTATTTTTTTATTTATTTTTTTTTATATATAATATTTCGCTCGTAAAATATTTTGTACGTTACGTATGTTTCGATTCATTCAGCGACAGGTGTATGTCAAAAGCACGCAGGAAAATTTATTAAAACAATGTAGATTCTCTTAAATATATATATATATATTAAAATTTATAATATATATATGTAGAGAGAGAAAGAGAAAGAGAGAGAATTCGCGCATACAATTTTACAAAAATTCCTGCTTTTTACACATTATATAACTCATATCTATGCAAAAAGCATGGAGATATGTAGAAAAAAAAAGAAAAGAAAAAAGAAAACGCGAACGGAAGAAGAATGTTTTAATCGGACTCGTACTAAAATTCTTTTACAATTTGAAATAGTTGACACCCAAGTGGCAAAAAATTTGCCCTCCTCTCTTCTCCCCTCATACGTCGAAAAAAAGCTAAAAGACTTTCCTTTCAACGCGGTGTAATATCATTCTTATTTTTTTAAATTTTAAACTACCGTTATATTTCTGTTTTGTACTCTCTGCATAATCCAAAAGCTTTCGATATTTGATTGAATTCCGATTGAAATATAAAAGAATTAAAAAAATAAAAAATAAAGTATTTGAAATAGAGTGTATGTTTCCTTTTTTTTATAGACTTGTTTGCTTTTCCTTTTCTTTCTTTTTTTTCTTTTTTTTTTAACGAGTTTATTAAAATAAAACAAGATATAATTTTTGTCTTTTCTTCTCCTTCTTTGTTTTTTTTTTTGTGTCTATTCACTTAGAACGATCAATAATTTTTATTTGTCTTTTTATCTCTGCGTTGACCGATGATAAATTTACACGCGCGAATTAACAAATCTGTAAATATACAAGGTGAGATTAAAAATAATAAAAGAAAAATTTACTTTTTTTCGAACGATAACATTTTCGCGCGAGTTATTTGTTCGTTCAACGATACCACCGTAGTCGACTGGTTGGTTATGATTTTACAAACAATCGATGATACTTTTCTCTCTAATTATTTTTATTTTAATATATTTAATAATACAATAATATAATATTAATAAAATATTAATACTATATATGGGGCATTCCACGTCAAATCGGCCACTTTTGACCCCGACCCCTTTCGATTTGGCTGAAAGTTTTTTATCCTGTTCTACCCTATGAAAAACAATTTTCAGAATTTTTTCAAATTTTTTTACCAAACCCAAAAAAATTATTAATTTTTGAAAAAATGGCTCTTTTTTTTTAAATTGCTATAACTTCTTCAAATTTAACCTATTGGGACGTTTTTTTTTTAAATTTTTGTTTTTACATGTACTATTCAGAAAAAAATACATAGAAATTTTAAAATTATAAAATCCATGAAATTTTCGCATTTTTTTTTAGAAAAACCGTTATTTTCTTGAAGTTCGCTATTTTTCATTTTTTTTTATTTTCTAAAAAAAAACTTTGACTAATTCTGCGATTATACCCGCCAGTCCCAGAGTGGGCCAAGTTAGTTTTTTATTTTTTTTGTGTGAAAAACTTTGTTTTTTGAGACTATAAATTAATTATATAATATTGTAAAATTGTTTTAATTGCATTAATTAATTAATTTATTTGCATTATTAATTTAATTAAAAAAAAAAATAAATAAAAATAATACACTCGTTCACTCACAACTAGTCGCACTGAATTAAGAAGGCGAAGGTTGCCTTTTTCACCGTGCTTATATACACATTCACCCCACCAATGATCCTAATCACTTCCGTCAATTTTTCTTGAAATCTCTAGACTATTCCCAATCGATTAAACAAAGGACTTCTTTCCGATTTCCGATTCGAGAATATTCGAGAGATTTCGGGGCGCTTACAAAACGATAACATCAGCTGATATCGCTATGCACGCTCGCTTTTCTTTCCTGCCACACACACTCGTATTCATATCGCTTCATATACTCACACTCATATTCATATAGCTACATAACTCCCAAATCTTTCAACGTTTATCAATTGTTTCACGCATACCATACACTCGCACTCTTCATCTTTCTCCCACCCTTACATATATTATATATATTATTATATATAATAATTATAATAATTAATATATTATTTAATTCATATAAAAATTATTATAAATATATATTATATATTATATTATATTATATAAAATAATTATAATAAATAATAACGTGCATAAATGTTTATTACAATCATATAACATGTAAAATAAAATATATATATATATATATATTCATTTTAAAAACCNATAATAATAATTTATATATAATAATAATAATAATAATAATAATAATAATAATAATAATAATAATAATATATATATATATATAATGAGTTTCTAATTGGTTTTCGGATTTTTGATATATTGGCCTTAGAAGTAAAGACCAAGCTTCGTTTCTTTATAACAAAATAGGTTTTTTATTTATAATATTTACGACATTTAACGAATTAACAAAAGATTGTCGTTATTTTGTAGTATTATATGTCGATATTTTGTGTTGTTAAAAATGTTAGAATGCATCTTGCATTAAATTAATCTAATGATAATGAAATAGCGAGTTAATCAAGGAGTCACATTAACGAGTTTCCTTTTGTTTTGTAATACTGGTGGTTGAAATATGTAACAAATTACATAGGATTTGGATTAGGTATAACTGTTGATAGAACAATCGGTTTCAGAATTTCTATACCTATTCTGTTTCGCCATATGTAAATCGGTAATTCGATGTTACTAATTGCATATCTAATACAATGTACATTCATTCGAACGAATTTACGTTAATAAATGGACCGAAATTAATTTATCAAACAATAAAAAAGAATAATCAAAACGGTGAAAATGAAAAAAATATCATCAGAAATAATTTGTTTGAAATTTATTTGATGAAAAACGATAATCTCATCCTTAGTATCGTAATAACAAGTATAATATATGACAATTGTAATAATGTATTATATTTTGAATGAAGCGAACAGACGAACAGACAAACACGGATAGACAGATAGATGGATTGATGAATGGAATAGTAATGATATATGAAGTGAATGATATATTAAATAGCATAGTACAATAGTTTAGAAAAAAAAACCTAAACAACAAAAGTTCTCTTACGTATATCTCTCGATAATTATTATTTAATGAAAATATTATTCGGTATATTATTATTACACGCTAACGCACGATAACAAGGGACTAATCGGTAATTCATTGGAACGTATTCAATAGTGCTTGTCCTACGTGTTTACAAAAGCATAATTCTATGTGTGCGTTTGCAATGCGTGTACCTACCCCTTCATAGGTGTCTACGTGTGTGTGTGTGTGTGTGTGTGTGTGTGTGTGTGTGTGTGTGTGTGTGTATGACGGGCACGTGAGAGCTCGAAATGAAATTGAAAGGAAATATGTGAAAATATGCGTTTACAGTCGACGATTAAAACGAAAAATTTATATTAAAAAAAAAAAATAATAAAAAGAAAATGACAATAATATTAAATAAATTAAAAAATAGTATTCGTTTTCGAAATAGAACAAAAAAAGAAAAATATATATATATATTCTCATCAAAATGAGAATAACGAAATAATTCGAAGAATGATGGGTATTAAAATTGTTAAAAAAAAAAAAGATTTTTAACATTCGTTTCTTTTTTTTTTTCGCTGTTTCGATTAATGTTTTATTCGATTTTGTATTTATATTACCAATGATTACTGTTTATATGTATATACATAAAGTATAAAGTATAAAGTAAAAAATGCTTTCTATATATATATACAAATTCAGTGTCACATTATTAGTTTACAATGAACTTCAAAACAACTGAATCTTATTTCTTATTTTTTTTTGCTAATTTAAAGATTTATTATTTAGAGGTTATCTAGGTATCCAGGTACTGTAAATTTTCAATAGATGGTGCTGTATTACAATTCAATTATTTTGATATATTCACGTCATACGTTTTTTTCAGATTTACATATGACATAACTAACCTTGCTTTTTTTACCTGTACTATTATTTTATGTATTGCATTGTAATTGTGATATTATTTTTGTGTGTTATTATAATTTACTAAATAGTTTAGAATTATATTAAATCAACACTTTATAACAAAGTCACAGCAAAACGTAGCCGGATCATCTTAGTATGATTATATACACATATAATACATATAATAATAATATATGTAATATATGTATAACACATATAATATATATTATATATATATACATATTATACATATGTATATTATATTGTAATATAATATAATATAATAATATATTATACTAATACAGTATATTATAATTAGTATAATATATATGATTATATACAATTATATATGTATATAATTGAAAAAATATATATTTGTGTCCTCCCCTACTCAGCCCTCCCCCTTCCCTCATAATCTCGGTCATCTTTCTTTATATGAGAGTATACTTACGGTCGATCGGTTATTTCGTTTGGATTTACGATCTTCTTGCCAGCTCGTTACCTTGCACGCGTTTGCGCGAACTCCGTTGCAGCTGCAATGTAGCCAGTGTATGCGCTTTCCTTAAAATGCA